TAAATAATATAGTGAATGGTAGCCTCAAAAGAATAGGAAGAAACCGTTTATCGCTTTCTTTCTCAAATTTTGAAAATGCAAATGCATTTTTAAATAATAGTAACTTAGAGACACATAATTTTAAGGCATTTATACCTTCTTTCCATGTAACCCGTATGGGAATTGTGAGGGGTATTCCTAAAGATTGGACAGAAGAGGAAGTAATCCAAAATATATCAGTACCGATAGGTTGTGGGAAAATTCTAAAAACCAGAAGAATAAAGAAAAAGACAATTAATGAAGGACAACCAAGTTTTATTAATACTGAAACCATTGTTATTACTTTTGATGGACAAATATTGCCAAAAAGAGTATTTATGTTTTACACATCATTAACTGTAGATTTGTACATTTACCCTACTATCCAATGCTATAACTGCTGTAGGTTCGGACATGTCAAGATGCAGTGTCGTTCAAATCCTCGGTGTTATAAATGCAGGCAAAATCATACAGGTGATAAATGTGAAGTAGATGAGGAAAATGTTTCTTGTATCTTGTGTAATGGTTCTCATTCAGCAATTAGTAAAAAATGTCCTGAATATGCACGTCAGAAAGCCATTAAAGAAACAATGGCCCATAGTTGTGTTTCTTATGCTGAAGCATCAAAATTTCATCCTCCAACTTCTAAACTATATTCAGATGTATTAACATCATCATCTCCTTCCAATAAATCTCATTTTCAATCTTCTTTCCTTAAAGAGAAATCATCATTACCACATATACAATCATCATATAAAAAACAGTTACACTTAAACCACGCTCTCCTCAAAAAATACAACAAGGATATGATCGTTCTGCCCATGAAGCCATAGTTAAGGAATATAATATTCCTGCTCCCTCTAATGGTTGTGCATTATCATCAAATAATATTGACAATAATCAATCCATCATTGATATTATTCTCATGCTTATTAAAGTGTTATCGCAATCAAAAATGATACAAACAACTTTACCACCGTCCAACGATGCCATGTACAATGTATTGTCTCAATTGTTAACTTCTCGCAATGGATTACAAAGTCCAAATAATTCAGTGGAACTGTCGTAGCATAACAAATAAGAAATCAGACTTATTTTATTTGATTAATAAATATAATCCTTTTATAATAGCTCTACAAGAGACTTGGTTAAAGCCAGGATATCCTTTTAGGATTTCAGGCTTTACAAGTCTCCGTGATGATAGAGCTGACGGATATGGCGGTGTTGCCATATTGGTCAAAAACTCCCTTCCTTTTTCTTCTTTTTCGCTTCCTGTATATAGCGGCATTAATGCAGCTGCTATAATTATAAATGGTATCTGTTTTGTTACTTTATATATTCCTGATCCTACATGCCAAATATATTCACAACTAGAACAATTATTTTCAATTTTACCTAAACCTTTTCTCGTAATGGGCGATTTTAATTCTCAGCACCAATCGTGGGGCAGTTCTACTTCTAATTTTTATGGTGGAAAACTCCTGACGATAATTGACACTTACAACTTATGTATTGTTAACTCAGATGTACCGACACGTAGAACTGCACCGAATGAAGGGTTTAGTGCTCCTGATATTTCAATATGTTCTTCTGATTTAGCTTCTTCACTGTCGTGGTATCCTCATTCCTCTACCTTCGGAAGCGATCACTTTCCCCTCATTCTTTCTTTTCCAATTTCCATTCCCTCAAGTCGAAAGAGTGGTCCTCGACTTAAATATAATTTATCAAATGTAGACTGGAATATTTACAAACAATATTTAGATAATAAAATATCGGAGTTACCTATTGTTTATCATGGAAATGAACATCAATGTTGTAATGACTTGATAATTAATATGAAGGAGGTTGCTGATTTATTATTTCCTGTTAAAAATAGTGCTTCAGGGAAAATTCCCTCCCCACCTTGGTGGGACAAAGATTGTACGGAAGCAATTAAAAATCGTAAAGAGGCTGAAAAAAATTATAATAATTACATGACATCAGAAAATTTTGAAATTTACACCGCAGTTTCACGTTCTACTCGAAAACTACTGAAAAAAAAGAAATTGGAAGGTTGGAGAAGATTTTGTTCTTCTATCTGTCCAGAAGTTAATTCATCAGTCGTTTGGAATAATATTAAAAGATTCAGATCTGCCTTCAGTGATCATACATCACGTTCTGCACTCGATTTAACTTTAGCGAATAAATTTTTAGATCGCCTTGCTCCTAGTTATGTGCCGGAATGCCTTTACAATATTTCTCTATCCGTCTCTGACGAATTATCCGAACTTGAGTCTCCTTTTACTCTTGTAGAACTTAAAGGTGTTCTAGCTTGTATTAAAGACTCTGCACCGGGAGAAGACGGTATACCGTATTCCTTTTTTAAAAATGCTAGCGATGCGACATTAATTTACTTTTTAAATATAATTAATTCCATAATTATTTCGGGAAATATACCTACTTCATGGAAGTCTCAGATTATTATACCATTTCTAAAGCCTCATAAACCACCTTCTGAACCATCTTCATACCGTCCTGTTGCACTTTCCTCTGTCTTACTAAAGCTAGCTGAACATTTAGTGAAGAACCGTCTAGAATGGTTTTTAGAAAGTAATAACTTACTATCCCCGAACCAGTTTGGTTTTAGGAAAGGTAAGAGCACCTTAGATAATGTGAGCGTTCTTATTTCAGATATTCATATAGCTTTCTCACAAAATTTGTCAATCCTCTCAGCCTTTTTAGATATAAATTCTGCCTATGATAATGTAATAATTTCTATTTTAAAAACTAAATTACAAGCTTTAAATGTACCGGTAATGCTTTCTAATTTCATTATTAATATTTTATCAGAAAGAACAATACATATGGATCTAGATGAAGATACCAAATTATCTAGAACAGTATGGAAAGGCCTTCCACAAGGATCTGTTCTCAGTCCAATTTTATTCAACATATACACATACGATCTAGAATCATTCCTTGATAAATCCGTAAAAATTTTACAATATGCTGATGATCTCTTATTATATTTTATTGCGAAGTCCATAGAACCTGCTTCTGCCAAATTATCTGATTCATTAGATATGTTAAAAACGTGGTTAGATGCAAATGGTCTTAATCTTTCTGTAACCAAGAGTAGTGTAGTTTTGTTTTCAAGAATGAGATCACCGCAACAAATTAAGGTGCTTTATGATAACTCATACATTCCTATAAAGACTGAAATTAAATTTTTAGGTATCGTGCTAGATAATAAATTAACAGGTCTGTCCCACTGTAATTATATTTCCACGAAATGTGAGCGTAACCTCAACATTCTTAGGTGCCTTGCTGGAGTTTGGTGGGGAGCACATCCCGTTTCACTAAAACTTGCTTATAATGGTCTTATAAGGAGTGTCATTGATTATGGAACTTTTTTGTTAGCTCCAGGAAGTTCATTTGCTTTTAAGAAATTGGATTTAATTCAATCAAAGGCCTTGAGGATTATCTCTGGAGCAATGAAATCAAGTCCAATCAATGCTTTACAGCTCGAAGTCGGTGATCCACCTTTGGTTTTAAGAAGGCAATATTTATCTGATCGCTTCTTTTTTCGTTGTTTACAATTATCTGATCATCCGCTTATTCAAAAGTTATCTCAACTATATATCTTTATTTCGTCTTCATCTTATTGGAAACATAAAAAACCTCCATGTTTAATACAAAGTTATGAAAAATATAAATCCATAGAATCTCCCACTTTTACATCGTCCTGTTTTCCCATTTATAAATGCTCATATCAATCTTTAGTTTTATCTCCTAATATTAAATATGATTTTGGGTTATCAAAAAATGATTCAGAATTGAATGCCAAATTTATGTTTATAACTGACATTGAATGGAATGAATGGCACTACATCTTTACTGATGCATCAAAACCAGACAATAGCGGTTGTGTAGGTGTGGGTGTGTTTCATTCACAATTTAATATCGTTCAAAAAATTAAACTTCCACCGGAATCTTCAGTTTTTACCGGGGAATGCTATGGTATTTTAAAAGCTGTAGAATATATACTTTTAATGAAATTACATAAGGCAATAGTTTTCACTGACTCTATGAGCTCTTTGCAAGCTCTAGCCAAATATCCGTTTAAATCAAAACCAGTTTATCCCATTATTTGTGACATAAGACAAAGTCTTTATCTTTGCATGTTGAGAAGGTATTCCGTTTCTTTTGCCTGGTTACCAGGACACAGTGGTATTAGCGGCAATGACAAAGCTGACCTTATTGCAAGAGAGGCTGTAACTTGTGGTGATATGTATCCGTATCATAATTACTGTAGTGACCTAGCTTGTCTCCCAAAAATATATTTAAGGTATGCCTGGAAGGAATATTGGGAAAAAAACAAGTACAATAAAAGGAAGATTTTATCGCCTTATACAACCCGATATTCCTTTCAAACCATGGTTTTGTAAATTAAAGCTTGGAAAGACCGCAACAACTATTATAACTCGTATGCGTCTAGGTCACGTATGCACACCTTCTCATTTATACAAGCTTGGTATTGTACAAAGTTCGTCGTGTAATTGCGGTGCTGAAGTGGCGGACTTGAATCATATATTCTTCTCATGTTCTAAATTTGACCACACCTCCCTTTTTAATCATCTCCGATCCATCCGTGTTCCATTCCCAACTTCTATTCTTACTCTACTTTCTTCCAATGATCCTATTATCTATAAAATACTATCTTCATATATATATGATAACAATATTAAGATTTAGTTATATTACATGAATACATTTATAGTTGCATCAATTGCTTTTCCTATATATTTATAAGTATATTCTCATATGTACAAGTATATCCTTCATATCCTATAAATATCCTAGACCTAATCCTTATCCTTTCTAAATTCGTTTGTGTTAGGTATTTTTATTACTATTATCGTTTCCCCGTTTTGTTCTTGGCAAAATACCCTAATATCGGGGTGAACGCCAAATAATAAAAAAAAAAAAAAAAAAAAAAAACCCTGCTGTCCTCCTTGACATTCTCTCTATACTATACTATAAGGAAGTATAATGAAAAGAGGGATTTTTATATTACACTACAATCAAAAAGTATCGTATTTGGTATTGCTATCAACTGTATTACTATCATTAATTCAATTGTTTTAATTTCAATTAAATCCAAGTAATGAATTAAATTATGCTTCTTGTGCTTTGTTGTTATTGAGTACTATCTAAATATTTACAAATCAACTTTTGTAACGTTGATTTTAATCAATTTTCGTTTAGATTATGTTCTATACACGAGACGGCAAGACCAACAAACTAGCATACAATCAAGCAATGGAATGAAATTAAGGGCTTTGACAACCAGTCCACGCCAAGTAGTAAATCATGATTGGAAAGGGAACAATGAATGGGGATGGTGCGACGAGTGTGCTTGACGAAACGGACAGGACAGGTCCAGTTGCCAGCAATTTTTGCCGAGATTTTATACGTGGTTGTTGTAGTCGAGACAATTGTAGGTTCATACACGAAATACCCCCTACAGCTTGTTTGAAGGAACTGTTCCGATTTTGTCATGATTTTCAAAATAAAGGTTGCTATAGAAATAACTGCAAATTTATTCATAGTACCGTAGAAGAAGAGGAGAACTTTTATAGTAGTGGCGTATTCCCACGGGACCCTCGCAATATACCCGTGTGCCAAGCCTATATACATGGATCCTGCACCAATCAAGACTGTAAACTGTTTCATCCACCCGATGTAGGGAGTAAAGAAGTAGTTCCAGTGCTTATGGTCCCAGCTCCAACATACAATCAACCGTTACCACCAATCAGAGATGAAGATTCACCACCTGAGGCCAAGTTCAGAAGGTATGCATATGAAGATACAATTGATAAACAGATATTAACCACAACAAATTTATGTCCTAACTGTGAAAATTTGGACCATAAAGTGAAGTTATTACATGATAATATTAGTGTTCTATTAAAAAAAGTTGCAGATTTAACAGAGAAGAATGTACAGTTAACTTCCATGAATGAGTTTTTGTTGGAACAGACAGCATCAATAAGGAGTGAACAATCTTGTGTTATTACCTCAAGGCATGGTACTTCAGCTCCTGTATCTTTAGCTACTGTGAGTGTAACTCCTGTAGTAAGCCTTGCTGGTGCTTTGCCAACCCTGGTTCCTGCTGCAGCCACTCCAAATTTAGCATTAGCACCAGCTGCTTCACGTGCACAGCTATTAACACCAGCACCTCAAATACTCACAGTTAGCACTACACAACAACTTGTTGGGAATTCTGGTGCACTAATAGTGACCAGTGCTGGAGCTCAACAGCTAATGCAAGTTAGTGACTCTGGCACTTTAATGGGAGGTGGACAAACTGTGGTGGTGACACCTGCACAACTAACATTGGCTCCACCTGCTCAGCAATTGATGAGTAATTCACAAACAGCTGTGCAACAATTGGTACAGCAGTCGGCTTTGCAATCTCAGGTTGTTCCTCAACACACAGCACCACAGTTTGCAGCTGCTCAGCAGTCGGTGCAACATCTGGCTGCAGCACAACAGTCTGCCCAGCATCTGGCTGCAGCACAACAGTCTGCCCAACATCTAGCAGCACAGCAGTCTGCACAGCATTTAGCGGCACAGCAGTCCGCCCAGCATTTGGCAGCGCAACAGTCGGCACAACATTTGGCTGCTCAACAGTCGGCCCAGCATTTAGCAGCACAACAGTCAGCTCAACATTTGGCTGCACAACAGTCTGCTCAACACTTAGCGGCACAACAATCTGCTCAGCATTTAGCAGCCCAACAATCTGCACAGCACTTGGCTGCCCAACAGTCAGCACAGCATTTAGCTGCTGCACAGCAATCAGCACAACAGTTAGCGGCTGCAGCACAGCAGTCAGCTCAACAAATAGTGGCACAGCAATCAGCCCAGCAACTTGCTGCTCAACAGTCTGCTCAGCAACAGCTTGTCCCTTCTGCACAGCATTTAGTGCATCAGACGTCTACTCAACAGATAACTATATCTAGTACTAGTCAACCAATGGCTCTGCCCAATTCACAAGCTCAGCCAATAACATTCCCCATAATATCCCAAAGTATATTGCCTCACTAAAACTTGCATTTTAAGTACTAGAATGTTATGTTTGGAATTGGTACATAAAGCTTAGAACTGTCTGTAATTAAGGATAATAAATATTAGGATCTTGCATTGTAAAATGCATCAATTTGTGATTGCTAGTTATTTGAAATCTTTTTTCAATTAGTCTAGGACGTTAAGACTAGCAAAAAATGTTAGACGACTTTAGTACATTTAGTAGTAAATTAATCAGTATTTTTATGAGTAACGTTGCCTATATATAGTATTTGCATTCAATAAAATATGTTTTGTCTTCAAACTCTTGTGCTTTTAGCAGTTTTATTTTATATTTAACATGTGTGCATAATTTATCTTGTAATGTAATTTTTATAATAAGTACTTGTCTGACTGACGACAAGTTTCGAGTCCTATGCCACATATGATTTTTGAAGCTAAATCTATTAATTTATAGAAGTATGTATATGAGACTATTAATTTGATTTAAAAAAATGTTTTCTTTAATAGAAAGTTTATCAACGATTCTTAATACTTACACGCTATTTTAAGACGTTCTGAAATTTAAAACAAATGTAGAAATTTGAAAGCGCCACCACACTATTGTATACATTTTATTCTATTATATTGATAAAAAAAATACGATTTGTGAAACTTATAGGTATGTAAAGAAAATTATACATATAATTATCAAGTATCCGAAAGAGTAAGTTTTTGTTGTTATAACCGTGGTCAGGGTTGTAATGTACCTAGTTATTAACTGATTTTTGTCATAGTAGTAATAGCTTTCCCTGTCTTAATGCGGTGGCCTACACCATAAGAGAGCCTTTTGGGTAGTTCGAATCAAGTCAATACCTAAAAATTTGTGATGATAATTGTTTTTTTATATAAAATCATACATGCCATTTGAAAATTTTATATGAAACTATGTTTTTTGTATATGTTAGAAAACACGTTACTTCTACATCAATATTGTTAACCGATATTGATGATAATTTTTGATTATCCCATGAAAATTATTTTTTGTCATCCCAATTTTCAAATACGTAGTAAATACTTAACCTACATAATTGGCTAGAACATTTTGTGTAAAAATTTATAGTTAAATCGAGTCTTACTCTAAAGTGATATTACCGATTTAGTATTTGAATAATCTTACTGTATGCTTTCATGAACATGCTGTAATTTATTTTTAATATTAAAAGGGATTTTTAAAACACGTCTGTTTTTTTTTAATCTAGAAAAACTAACTTTCCGCCTGTATTAGGAATTACGTCAGTTTTGCCTTCCATAGACCACAATTGCGAACGATACTGAGCTACCTGCATCTATTATTTCTATGTGATACATTGGAGGTTCTTGCTATATCTAACGTGAGGTGTTTTTTTAATGGGTAAAAGTATAATGGTGAACATGAAAGCAGGTCAGTTGGCCCATGTTGACGGATTCAACAAGAATTAACCACGATGACTTCCACGGGGAAACGTGTGGAGGTCGCTCTAATAAATTACTAGCAATGAAGCCGTTAGATCTCATTAATAACAATTTCTTTGTCTCTAATGTGAGGAATATACTTGAAATTCGGCACGATAGTTTCCAGGGGAACCACGTTGAGGACGACGAAGGGCCCGCTTCTATTGCTAGCAATATCCACAATATTGCTAACAATGGGGCCCTTCGTCCCCATTATTAACAATCCCCACCGGAATGGATTTTTTTTTATGGGTGAAAATGGTATGGTAACCGCACCTGCGCTAATGGTATACGCTGGCGGAGAACCAGTGAAAGGTGATAGATGAGAATGAAAACAGGTCAGTTAGCCCATCATGATGAATTCATCAGAAATTAACCACGATAGTTTCCAGGGAGAACCGCGAGGAGGTCGACCTGGTTGGGTATATTGCTAGCAATAGGATTCTCAGTCTCCATTACTAACAATCCCTTTCCCCCCAGGAATGGGAGTGTTAGACCCCATTACCAATCATCTCTTTCTCCCTTAGTTTAAGATGTTTCTTTACCGCTTCTACTATCGATATACACTAGTGGGGTGTGATTATAGGTGAGGATGAAAACAGAACATCGTGACGAATTCATTAAGAATTAATCCCGGTAGTTTTCAGGAAGTATCGCATAAAGGTCGACCTGAGTGGGTACATTGCAATGGGGCTGCTAGTCCTCTTACTAACACAACCAGTGTGAGTCCCGACATTGTTCGCATGTAAGGTGGTGATACTTCGTCGCCAGTTTATTTGCCTTAAAAATATATTTATTTAAATATCAGGAAAAAATGATACAATCAAGTCGTTATACTTGTGATAGTATATATAAAAAGAGTTATACTGTTACAGTAATAAAAATAATTGCTATTAGCATTACATTAACACAATTAAAGATATGAGTATTGGCTGTAATAAAATAACTAGTATTGGCTGGATATAAAATTGAATTTCTATATAAATACAGTTTAATTTTCAACTTTGTCATAATAATTAAAGTAAAATAATGTTGTATTGTGCTAAATATAGGCTACTAAGTTTAATAAATACAATAATAAATAATTGAATTATTTTAAGATCCATTGATTTTAAACCCTTTAAATGTCTGAACATAAGGGAAAGAAATTGCAATTAATCATGATTAAATTAGAATAAGTTTAAAAAAATCAACGGCGTACCTATACACTGCTTTCAATGTATCTTACTAATATAATAAAATTGTAAATCACTACATGGGAGATGTTTAAGAAAATATTATATGAGATCATAGAGGCAAAATAATTATTTTTAGACATCTTGTCTGTCTGCTTGCATTTACGTGATGTAGGAACCGGTTGCTTGGTGCAGTAGTTTTTGCGATTGGATGCAGTTTTCACCGTAGTGTTCCTGAAGGTTTAATTAAAATCTGGTATACGTTTTATCTTGGTATGCTATCAAAAAGTGGTCCGTCTTATTGGATTCTTTACTCTTGACAACCACGAGTACAGAAGAACGGGCAAAAAGTTTACAATAGAAATTATCTTTATTCAAATAAACTTTTTTTTTTATAAGACTTACATCTGTTTATTATTGTACTAGTTGCCCGCTCCGGTTTTGTACGGTTGTATCAATGAGGAAAATGTATCCAAATCTTCCCTAATTTTTCATTAAAAAATTTTAGTTTTTCGTACGATTTTTTTAAACATTTTCATTCATACAAACTTGTCCTGACAATTACAAACAATAAAAAAAAAAAATAGTCAAACAGGTAAAGCCGCTCTGAAGTGACGCACTTACATACATTTGGCAATGGAGTTTTATTTATATATATGTGTCGAGACTGAGTTTGAAATATTGTTATTTACTGAAAAGAAACTACGAGTATTTTTTCGTTATTATGAAAAAATAAATAAATACATTTCAGACGCGAAAAACACATCAGATTATTAAAGTTATAAAATTTTAGTACTAACTGTATATTTAAATGATTTTGTAAATTTTGTAACTGTAATAAATAAAGAATAAATAACTTACTATTAAAACATCACCAAAGGCTAACTGCGGTTGCCAACCCTCATGCCAAGCGTAGCGACAACTACTGGCAAAATCTTTATGAGGGAGGAATATGTTCAGCAGTAAACAGTTAACGACTGATATGGTGATTAAATATCTTTTCCTTCACTAAATAGACCTTGGGGTCTATTATATTGTCAAATATCGGGATCTGACATTATTAATTAGTATATAGTTACACCTACTTTAGAATATTCATTTAATAAACTATAAAATCAACGCAAGTAGGTACAGACCCTTCAGTAATTTAATTTAATTATGTTAATACTAGCATGTTGTGTCAGATTTATTAATATTATTTTCACTAGAATCTTCTGTCTGGTGTTGTAAATATGACGGCAAACGGCCCTGCCTTTCGCCTTTGATTTTGTGAATTTTCCAACGATGCCCTTGTAAAATTTTTCTGTAAAGTAATAAATATAATGTAATGAGCTTCTTTTTTATAATTACAGTCAAATTTTTCATACATCCATTCGTAGGAAGTCAGTCTGTAAACAAAGATGTGTTATGATCGCGTACATATTTATGCTGATAAATTGCAATAAAAGCTTAACTGCGCCTCTAAACACTAGTTACAATAAAAACTTATTATCGTGAACGTAGGATATAACGTAAGTGTAGTTCTTTGTACAATTCAAATTAGCCACTCAAAAGTGTAATTTGTACCAATAGTTAGATTTGACATTAGATACAATTATTCTTATAATAGATATCTATTCATCACATTGGGTACATAGTTTTTAACTCCAAAAAGAGATTATCAATTCGACTGTTACACCCGTAATATATTCCTTGATAATGAACTAATTTTTATGTTTTTTTTTATTAAAAGGATTTCTAATTGAAGGGACCTACTCTAGTCGTGTAGTTCATAGGCGTATTTAAAGGAGGGGGGGGGGGGAGGGGGGGAATGTCAAGTGGCCATACTCACTCACACAAAATTATTTGGTGCCTACCCCAAGAAGAGTGTAACTTTGCGAAGACATATCAGAAATCAAAGAGTACGTATGCTCCTTTTTAAGGGACCAAGCCTTCCTTAAAAAATTGTTCTAAATACTTACGCCAATCAGGTTGTTCAATATTGATTCTATCAAGATCAGTATTTTTTTTTATGGAAAAAATTATGATAATTCCTTATTATAATCAAAAGAAAAAGGTTTTTAGATATTGTTTTGTTAAACAGCAATTAAATTGTACAATACTTACTTGGTATTGAACTTCTTGAAGCAAACATCGCATTTTACAGTGCCTTGCCGGAGATGTATGTCTTTTATGTGCCTTTTCATATCGTGTTGATATGAAAATGCTTTGTCACAATAGCTACACTGAAAAAATAAATTTTGGTATTATAAATTTTGTCAACCGACTTCAAAAGGATCAGTAGGTGATCTACCATGTTTAAACCTTTGCACTCCAGCTTCCACTCATAGAGGATACCAATAACTCATTAATTTATCAATAACTTATTATAATGTATAATAAACATATCATAAACACTATAAGATAAACATAGATGATTTCGCTTCGATTAAAAAAATTAAATCGAGGCTGACTACAGAAAGACAACTAAAATATTGAAATTAAAATCAATTGTGACACAAGAATTTAATCTAATTTGTCAAAGAGTCATTTGTTAAAAGTTTCGTAAGTAAACTATATATTTTTATGTAAGAACAATCGGATTGACATAAGTATATTTCAGTCAAGTAGTTGCCTAGGTACGAAGATTACTTTTCTCTGTTAACAACGATTTGTGGCTACAGTGATTTTAATTATAAATCATCAATTATTATAACCATTTTTTCTTTTATTTTAATTAATTAGCATGCATAAATACATTAAAAAAACTGGATTTTTAGTACCACTTAAACCTCTTGGGCTTGTGTGTGATACTTTACATTTCGTTCTCAAATGTCAATATTTACATTAATATTCTGCTGTTTTAGCAAGGTTGGGCAGTAAATAAGCTTTCAGTTTAAACATTATGTTTTTAACAGTGATATTGTTTCGAAAGTCGGTAGGTAGAGAATTTATTAATCGCGGTATAAGGTAGGCGCTCGTTCGCTCATATTAGCCGTTAATCTTTCACTACTGAACATAGCCTTTCCCCATAAGGGGGTTTTGCCAGTAGTTGCCACAATTAGCAGGCGGGTTGGTAACCGCAATTGAGCTTTGGTGATGTTTTAAGAGGGTTGATGCTGTCCATCTCTCGTCCATTAAATTCCGTAGTTAATACGCCTTACACGTCACTCACGAGAAAGAAGGACATTCTATGTTGGAACCACATGGCGTTAATTATGAATACTCATTATTTACCTTATAAGGTCTAGTAGTACTATGCACATGTCGCATGTGTTTAGCTAAATTACTTGATGTCGTCGTTGCCTTTGGACATTGCGTACATTTGTACGGCTTGTCTGTCATGTGTGACCTTTTATGTACTCTTAGTAGATCCATCGTACGACCTTTGTATGGACAAACATCACATTTGAATGGGAAAATGTTTTCATGGGTCCCCCTGGAATATTATAGATATTTTATATATAAACTAGTTATCTGTGTTTTTTTATTACTTATACTAGTACGGTAGCAAACAAGCATACGGCTCATTTGATGGTAAACGGGATTGTAGTAGGCCGAGGAAGTCTGTAACATCAAGGATGTCACGACCGCGTTGCCGACCCTTAAGAAATCTTATTACATTCTTTTTGAAGAACTCTATGGTGTAGTATATTTAGGAAAAACTTCGGCAGCAAGATCATTCTACAACCTGAGCGTTCGCGAGTGGAAACTCCTATGAAACCACACTGTGCGTAACCTTTTGGTTCCTTGTGTTCAGTATTTAAGGGAGGGAGTGGGAGGAGGGCGGACTAAATTCAATGGGGTGGCCGTGCAGGAGCCAAGCATCAAATTCAACGATAGTACTTGTGACGAAACAAGCTGGAATGCAACTATCCATTAAGCACATTTTTTTTGTCCTTGGAGATGCTATTAAAAATTTGCTCAAGGGTACTTGTAGGTTAAGACTAGTCTCGCTTGGCTATCTATTCATACACACATTATGTAAAATGTACTAAACGGATTTTGATGAAATAAAATATGTATGCAAATAACATAAAAGGCATTTTTTACTATGACAAAATGTCACTTTTACAGAAAAGTCAAATTTACATTGACGAAGGGTAACTTAATTATAATAACCAAATAAATTCAACATACATATGAACTAATAAATTAGCATTTGAAAATGCAGTTTTTCCACATACATCACATAGAAATCTTTTCTTTGTTACTTTCTCAGGAGGCTTTGGGTCTTTGGGTGTTCTCGTATTGCAATTTGGTAGGTGATCGTTGTATGTATCCTGGTGGAAGAAAAAAGCAATTAAGATAAAGCTATGGAATATAAGCTTTTTTTAACAAATATTTTTATGCGAAACTATATATAATACAAAGAAATGTGTCAGAGTAACAAAAGTGAACTAATATAATATTCAGAAGATTATAGTAACAGTTGTCGTGTGCATTTATGAAACCATACAAGAGATATCAATATCTTTCATGACTATATTATCTGTGACACAAAATGTTTAATATTTTACTATAGAGTTTTAATTGTTAAAACATATAGGTATATAATATTTAAATCACAAGTATGTTAAAGTTCTAAAATTACTACAACTAACCAGATTACAAAATTCTTTGCAACAGTTAGTACACCCCAAGATTTCCGAATTATCTTCTGAGAATGATGGAGAAGGAACATTGTATGAGTCATCACTCTCGCCTTTTATTCTACTTTCGTAATCATTGAATTCTGTAAAAATATAATAATATAATTTATTATAACATAATATAATTTAGAATTATATTTATTATTGTATTTATCGCCGTGTCGGCCCCGGCATAGAATGAGCCATCCCTTCCTTTCCCGTGGGTGTCGTAAGAGGCAATTAAGGGAACTTATGGTCGAGAGATAGACAGGAATGTCCTTCTTAAAACATCAGCAAAAATTGAGGTTGCCAATCCGCCTGCCAAGCGTAGAAACTACTGGCAAAACCCCCCAATGGTAAACTTAAGAAATCGATTCCCAGTTCCCGGAGGCTCCGCTATTCCTGACCAAGGTAGCGGTCACGGTAACGGCGGAGCAAGGGGTGTTAAGAATCTTCGTCAGAGATTCCGCTACTAAACCAAACAACTGGACCTGGCAACATACAAATATACGAGCTTTGAGGATCGATGAGATTTCCGAAAGGGCTTTAGCACTATAGACCACATACATACGCTACGGCAGTTTATACAGAAGACCGAAAAGTATAATCTGCCACTAGCTCTTGCGTTTGTAGACTATGAGAAAGCCTTTGGTCGAATCAATTCGGTCAAGGCATGACCGGTACTACAGCAATGCCAGATTGACTATAGATATATCGAAATGTTGAAGTATATGTACAGTATAATTACGATGTTTATCTGAGTACAGAACCAGAGTACGAAACCCATTCCAGTGCAGAAAGGAGTTAGATAGGGCGACGTCATATCCCCGAAATTCTTTACAGCTGCTTTGGAGGATGTTTACAAACTCTTGAGTGGAAAAGATATGGTATAAACATCAATGGCGATTACATCACTCACTTTCGATTTGCAGACGGCATAGTAATCATTGCGCAATCCTTGGAGAATTTTAATACTATGCTCAATGAACTCAATGGTGTTTCTCAACAGGTAGGTCTTAAGATAAACATGAACAAAATTAAAATCATGTCTAACGTCCATGTTACACCTATACTGGTTACGGTTGAAAACACTATGCTCAAAGTTGCCGACATGTATAACAATGTAGACAACTTGTCCGAATAGGTAAGTCCAACTTCGACCGAGAGATCAACCATAGAATCCAACTTGGTTAGGCAGCGTTTGGAAAAATATGTTACATCTTTTCATTCAAAATATCTCAAAGTTTGAAGGCTTACATGATTGTCTGTAGGCAAAAGCTTCAAATTACTCAGCAGACTATGCTTAAAGTTTCTTTGTGTAATAAAATCTGAAACAAGAATATCCACAAAAGAACTAAAGTAACTGACATAACCTGAAGCACAAACAAGCTGAAGTGGCAATGGGCTAGTCACATAACTTGAAGAATCGACAAATGGTGGGGAAGAAAGGTACTACCCCATACACGCAAGCACAGTGTCGGATGACCTTCACCAGATGGAGTAACAACCTCAATTATTGGATTACAGGGAGTTAGTAGATGCACACGGCTCAGGATCATTCTTTATGGCAGTCTATGGGGGAAGCCTATGTCTAGCAGTGGATGGATAATGGCTGAAATGATGATGATTGTATTTACCTAAAGGTTGACTGGTAGAGAATACGTGTAGTATTAATCTACCTTTTATTGGTCAATAAAGTTTAAATAAATAAAAAAACAAATAAATAAAAAATAAACAATAAAAATGTATTAGTAATTGTTTTACAGAAAAAAAAACTTTTACCTTTCTTTATAGACATTTCAATAATTTGTTTGTTGGTCCTCTGACACATGTCTCTAAAAGTAATGCAGCCATTTAGGAGATCCAAACAATTTTGACACATGTGTTTGGAAAATTTGTCTGAATTGTTGATCTGTAATGAATTTAAACATTGTTTATAGTACAATTTAAATAATTAATATAGAACTGCATCCATTGTATTTTTATAAGTCCACCTTCCATCAGATAAACCACTAACTTTTTTATTATATTTACTAATGATATATACAAAATACAGTAATTGTACCTAAACATAAAATAACATCACATTTATCAGGTGGCCTTAGATCTATTCTTAATTCATTGTGTAAGGATATGCCATTCAAAATTAGCATTTTTATGCATTATGGTAGATTAATGGCTATGTACTATCATAATATTAACAGGTACTATCATATAACAAGTATTAAGTATAAAAATCTCATTATTCTATAACATCAATACAAAGTAATTAACATCACAGATCTGAATGAGAAAAAAAAAATATTTCTTACATACAAATTGAAAGTTTTATAATAATATAAACAAAAATATATAAAAAAAAAACATTAAAAGTTATTTTGTAAAAATAATAATACTTTGTTATTACAATATTTAAAGTACAATTTCACTTACTGTAACACCAGAAAAATTTTTGATTTCTTCAGGAATGTTTGGTTGAAGAAAATTATTGAAAATTGGAATATCAGCTTTTTCGTAGTTACATATTCTACATATATTTATTTTTTTTATTGAATGCCTGAAACATATGATTATGTTAATTCAGAAAGTTGTATATTTATTAAATAAAAGATTTATTTATTGAGGTATGAAGTCTAATGAATTAATTTATTACTGCACCTACCTCTTTAACTTCCTCTTTTTCTTTTTTTGTGTTGACTGCAAAGCGTTTGCAAATAACATTGATTTTAATAATAAAAAAGAACTCATATTTGTGTAACTAGAATATTTATTTAAAAGTATGTAATATATTTTATACTAAAGAAGATAATATGTTATAGACAACAAGCAAGCGAATATAAAAAAAAATAAACACAACAAAACAATTTGATATTATTTGACGTCTGACAGATACTGGACAGTTGACAGCAACCTTTAAGACATTCACAAACGGATAAACATATTTGAGAATATCCATCAACGGAGATCCAATATTTTCGATCTCAGAACAAATAAATATCTTTAATTTTAAATTAACTTATATTTGGTTCCAAAATTCACCTTATTTTTTGTCCTCAAAGGCAATTTTACGACCATTTCTGCCAAAGTCATGTATAAGAGTCGTATGCATTGTCCCATCGGCTATTTGTGCTTAAGTAAACTATAATTCTTCATTTTAAAATAAATATTTACCATTCCCGCCATTTGTCTAATTGTGTAAGATTTTTTTATACCGTTGAGGTGGCAATCAAGCATACGGCCCACCTGATGGTAAATGGCTACAGTAGACTATGAACACCAGTAATACCAGAGGTTTTACGCGCGCGTTGCCGACCCTGTGTTTAACTAGCATATCCTGTCTATCCAATTATCTGGCTCTAAGAACAAGCGCTCCGTTCAAACAATGTTTTTCTAGACTCCAAAAAAATAATTTTAAATTGATTGATTGATCAATCAACTAACTGACGTTTAACTGACACATATTTTTGGCACACGCTCAGAATCAGTAGCTTGTTGAAATCATTCTTGATTTGTTTAATGTTTATTTTGTTTATATTTATAGTTGCATTGTAAATGTATATTAGGTCGTTTAAATTAGTATTTAATATTTTGAATATTTCAAGAAACATTATTCCATATATATATTATTATGGCAGTATATTTGACTAAAAATATGTTATTAAAATTAAACAGAGTGACCTATTCTTCAAACTATGTAAATGACGACGAGGGAAGCAGTAATAGTGACCACTGGCAAAATCTTATTAAAGACAAGTACGTCAGTGAACAATTCTAACTTATTTTAATCACAATTATATAAGGCACTATTTGTTATATGTAAAATATCATTCTTTTTGCTTCACAGTGCATGTATCAATTTTGGATTAAAATAAAAAAATTAGACTGTCAATTTCCTATTTTTCGAAGATTTCTGCCATTATTTTACTAATTTTACTCTTTTGGTGAGAAAAAATCAACAAAACTTACTTTAAAGTTTAGGTAATGTTATAGTTTGATTTTTCCAGCAAAAGCACTGATCGTTTGGCTAAGGATATGATCTGTAGAGTGTGTGCCAAAAGTGGGTGTACACCATTAACTGAAAAGATAAATGGATATGACATAACAAGTGCTATTCGCAGTATTACAAATGTCAATGTAAGACTACACTAATAATTTACATTAAATTGAACCTTCTTCTCTAATGAACATAAGTCAAAACATAATATTATTGAATCTATTGTATTCAGTGAATCATATGACTTTACAGTCTTTAAGTAGAATTTTTTTTTTTTTTCAATTACACCCATACTTTCTTTAGGGTAACTTGTTCAATGTTATTAATACTGTTACTTTCTTGATTTAAATTGATTTAATGTATCTTGTATTAGCAGTGAATTTATTGTTTAAACTGTTATTTATTTAAATTTTGAATTATGACTTTATAAAAAACAATAATTACCAAATAAAACATGAATTGTTCTTTGCAGATTGAGCTTGATGACTCTTTGCCTAAATATATTTGTACAGAATGTTTGGAAAGACTGAAGATGGCAATGACATTCAAGAGGACATGTGAGACGTCTGACAAGAAATTTAGAAAAATATTAAATCCTATGGGTATTTATTTAATGAAAAATGTGATTTTATATTTGACACCAGTTTGAATATTAATCAGATTTAAATGTTAATAAAAAAAAAAAATTAATAAATTTTATAAATTTTTTATTAAATTCTTAATAAGTATTACATCATCCAAAATGCTATTTATCTGTCACTAAAATTAAACACATATATTATAGGTGATCCATCCATGCACTCGTATCCATATTCTAAGCATGACTTTCAACTGATATTGCATCAAATGAAACAAAAAAGAATGAAGTATGAAGAGAAATTGGAAAAGGAACGAAAGAAAAGGGAGAAATTAGAACAAAAGAAACTGCCTAAGATAAAACAATTTAAATGTTCACCTTGTGATATGATATTCCCAAATAAGGTAAAATAGTATGAATCTTTTATTTATTTTATTTCATAACACTGCTTTTTATACTCAATAAATTTTAAGAAATTACTTATAATTTTTATTGTAGTGTTGCTAATTCATTTAATTGATAATTAACTGACTTCAAAAAGGTGGAGTCTTCAATTTGAGTGTATTATTTTTAATTTTATTTATGTGTAAGTCATCAAATATTTTTATTAAGTTATATACCATTTTAATAATTGATAACTATGTGAATTCTTTATTTTATTATTTGATCAAGACTGCAAGATTGAATTTTTTTTAATTATGTTTGAATTTATTCAGTAATAAAACATGTTATAGAAACTTGGATACCATGTTTCTATAACTTATTATATAATGTATATAAAAGCCTCACATATCTACACAACGGCCTCCCTGTGACGATCAGTTACCATGTTTGATTGTGATGTTTACTTTACCATAATGTTATCATACTCACTTGTAATTAACGAATATTATTATATATAGAGATGTAAATCAGTATCCTTATTATATTTTAGGATAAATTAATGGCCCACCGACGCGAGAGACAGTGCATGCGGCGCGCTTGCGACGTGTGCGGCCAACTAGTGTTGAGCATCGCACAGCATATGAGACATATACACAAGCAGACTGTTCCTCATAAGTGCCCCACGTGTGGCAAGGAGTTCCCCATTATTGCTCGCCTTAAGAATCACATGTATTTATATTTTTTATTTTCCATATTCTCATAGCTTTAATAAAAGATTTGGATTTTCCCATAGCTGTAATTGAAGATTGGAATTTTAATGATTGTTATGGCAAAAGTACTAGTATGTGAAGTATATCATCATTGAATCTGCAGGTTTTAAGATATCCTACAAAGTCTAAAAATTCAGCATATCTAGTAAAATCCTCAAAATATTCCATTAATTGGTTTTTTATGAAAAATTATAAAATGGAAAATGTAGATATTTAATATTAATAAAGTAGAAATATATTTAAATAAAAACTTCCGGTGTTTACAAATTACGCTTGAGATGAGCTGGACCAATACATTCATATGATTAAAATAATAATTATCATTTTAAAGATATACATATTTGCTTTACAAAGTAAGTAAATGAATATAATATATGTAATATTGTTTCATACATTTGCAGGCTGGTCCATACAGACACATTCAATTTCTTCTGTGATCTCTGTCCATACAAATGTAAACATAAGTATTACCTCGTGATGCATATGCGCACACACACCGGTGAGAAACCTTACAAATGTCAACAATGTCCGGCAACATTTGTGAATCCATCTAATTTAAATAAGCACAAGCTAACACACCGGGAAAAACAATTTAAGGTAAACATTTTTTTCTATAATTTTTAGGGTCGGGAGTTAACTTGATAAAATAAACAAGAGTTTATTTTCTTTTGAAGTTTTTTCTAATACTAAACTTTATTCTGATGTAATTCAATACCTTAGATCTGATAAAGTTATGAAGTCGCAAGTATAAAATAAGACTAAAAGAACATTCTAAAAAAAAAGATTTTATAGAGAGAGAAAGACAGACAGAGAAAGAAAGAGAGAGAGAGAGAGAGAGAGAGATAGAGAGAGAGAGAGAGAGAGAGAAAGAGAGAGAGAGAGAGAGAAAGGAATATAATACTCAAATTCACTATAAAATCAGTATACAATTTTCCAGAATATCAATGATATGATTAATACCGTAAATTTTATTATAATTTTTATTATTTTTATGTAAAATTTAGTTTTATGTTTAAAGTTGAATAGACGATACAGGCATTGCCTTATTGTTTAAACCATCTTCAACTAATCCTCTATAAATTGTTTCAGTGTATGCTATGTGAGAAGGCATTCCGTACGAACACTGCGCTCCGCGAACACCAAGAAGCTACACATATGCACATCAAGCACACATGCAACTTCTGTGGCAGGGACTTCTGTTATAAGTTTGTATTGTTTTTTTATTGTTCGTATAGAAATATATTCTTACACATTACTTATTTAAATTTATTTTAGTAAAAAAAATCTTGATATAATACTGACACTCAATGTCCAATTAAATAATGATAACTGGTATGAGCAATGTGATATTGAAATAGATTATAATGTAGTTCCAAGGAGCTTTATTGCACTTGCATTTTATACATGCGGAGTTCTTTATTTTCTCTTCGTCTTCTATTTCGTCATAAAAAGTTGACACAAAATGATTTCATACATCATTGAAAATTTTTCATACTATGAAAACACTTATCCTAAGAATTTTCTGAATACATAAAGTTATCACTAAATCAGTACCCATGTCTTTTGAATTATTTAGATTTGGTAAAAATAGAAATAAATTAAAAATTGTAAATTTAGTGGGTGGGTTTTTTTACTGTGTCCATGTTTATAAAAACGAGCATATTGCCTAAGAACAGAATATATGAAAGTTACGGTACACAGTTTAATTATTGATAAAGAATATTTAAATTATTAATGTTACATATGAAAAACATTCATTCACAGATCCGACCTTCGAAAACACGAAATACGCAATCATAACCGTATGAAGCGTGATTACATTGGCGGGGAGCCAACCTATAAGCAAGTAGAGAGAATGCAGAAATTGCAAGAGAACGAGGCGTTGAGTAAGTGGCGTATACAGACGGCAGAGGAGACGACGGTGCCCGTTGTGCAGGCCACATATATTGATCAAAGCAAGGAGTTCATACAGACCACACATTCAATGTATTTCTCTGACGTCACCGGGATGATACAGCAACAGCCTCAAATTGGTAAGTTTTTAAGCGATTTAAAAAAGGAACTGATACTCAATACACTTGTATTTTTTTTTGTATGTTTTGCGATTTCTTCAACATTTTATAAACGGATTTTGATAATTCCTAGAATCGATAAGTTTTACGTCAATCAATTAAAAAGCTACTGTGTTTTTTTTATTTGCAAAGTTTCCAATTATACTTTTAATTTTATTGCCTCTCTTAATTCAACTCTTTTAAAATAATTTTATTTATGATAAAGATGATAAAGATTATGATTTCGCCTTTTTCGTTGGAAAATATAGATTCTCTGTTTTATTTAATATATTTATTTTCTTTTTCAGTTCAACAGCAAACCGTACAGTTGTCATTGTAAGTAGTATATACTCTCTATTATATAATTATCAATTTCTTTATTAATTTACATAGACACATAAGAGAAAAAAGGTTCTGCATTACACAGGTTACAAATAAAGTCATGTCCTCAAAGTAAAGCGCGTAAATAGATGTATGCACATAAATTTGCAGACAGCTTTGTTTTAGATATTGTAATAATTTTATGTGCATTATACAGACAATTTCATCGCTCTTTAATTTATATATTTCACGGCGATATGGACCCAGCGCTGACTTTTTGTTATTTGTCAGTGGGTCGTTTAAGCATTTAAAAGTACTTATATTTTGAAAGTAACTTAATAACTTCTGATTTGCTAGCTAGTCTCGAAGTAAGCTCCATTTTTAATTAACTTTTTTTTAATTTCATAATTGATTTTTATTATAATAATTATTACATAATTTTAAATGTCCACTTGTACTTACGTAGCTCAACTATTTTATTGTAAAATGTTTTTGTTATTTATACACATGACGTGACATGATTTTGATATATAATTGTAAATAGAATATCGTAATAATCTTAAACTTTCTTGATTCAAAGACTACATAGGGTTATTATATATTCAAAGCATTTATTATTATTTTATTTGATTAATTTGTTTGATTTTTTTTTACATAGACCGGAGTTAGTGATGAAGAAGGATGAAGTGAAAATCTACGACACACAGCAAGGAATTTATTTTTAAGTGAAGATTAGTGGGGCATTATTAGATGTTATAGGTAATTATCGTATTATAATCATATTATTTGAGTACTCATTTTTATTTATGATTTATAAATTTGCAATGTATACTTTTACAATAAAATGTAACAATAATAAAATAGTTTTAATAATATTGTTTTTATTGTATTTACAATCCTTATAAATTTTTATGGTTATGTTGAAATATCAAATCGAAGGGCAAGCGGCATTCTATTGTATTACAAATGTGTAAGTTGATAAAGATGTTTATTTATATGTTTTTTATTTAGCGGCTTCAGCTAGAGTTTTTTTTTTTATAAATGATAATGGAATGACATTCGCGCCTGCGCTATCGGTATATACTGACAGGGCATCAGTAAGGGGTGATAGGTAAGGATTAAGCAGGTCAATTACGATAATATTATTTTAATAGACCTGCTTGATGGTTTCCAGGGAAACCGCGAAGAGGTCGACCTAATAGGGTTTATTGCTAGCAATGGGGTTGCTAATTCCCATTATTAACAATCGCACCCCCTCCTTTCAGATTTATTATGTTTTATTTTTTACTTAATAAATTTGAAAATCAATTACGTCTCTAGCGATTGAATTTGAAAACTCAGATTTCCACACAGATTCATAAAAATGTAATGCAGTAACGTAATTCGTAAACTCACACCAACCCCTCTGATATCCATGACCTGTAAGGACTTATGCACGCCCTGTAATAGACTCCGTTGGTTCTGTTTTAATACAGGTTGATAGGTGTTATGATGTATGTTATGTTTATTATGTTATCTAAGATAGTGTAACTCCGTTTTCCAAGCATTAATCGCTTTATTCATTTACATACATAAAGAAGATGCAAGTTCACTTAAAGGTATACATAATACCAAATATAAGTTTTTAACAATATGAATTTGGTAGGTAAGTATGTAATAGTTTGAAATCAGTAGATATTTATTATCACCAAACTGGCTAATAATGCCACAGGCTTTTGTCTAATAATTAAACTTGTTTACAACTTAAGCGGTTTCATCTCACTGATTCTTCTTCTACATATTATTTAAATATCCAGTACCTAAATACGTTTACGTACCTACATAGAGTATTTTTTTAATGGGTGATAATGGAATGGTAACCCCACCCGTGCTATTGGTATACACCGGCGGGGCTGATGAAGGATGACAGGTGAGAATGAAGCAGGTCAGTTAGCCCATTGTGACGAATTCAATAAAAATTGTTCACGATGGTTTCCAGGGGGAACCACGTGGAGGTCGACCTGATAGGGCATATTGCTAGCAATGGGGCTGTTAAACTCCATTGCTAACAATTCCTTTCCCCCCTACATAGAGTATTAGGTAAGATCGGTTATCTAAAAATATTCACATGTTCAAATATGCCTACGTGACCGTCTTTCGTAAAATTTCTATATATGTACTCGTCTACCTCTATATGCTTAATGCGTACTATTGATGCATACTACTGATACATGTCAATAAGTTTAAAATTTCAAATTAAACCCAAAGTTTTTGATGTGCATTACATTATAATTAAATTTATATTATATAATAAGATAACAACTCTTCGAAGCCTGCAGTACATTTAAAAAAAATCACGATTTAAAAGTGCCTGTAAATAAATTTATTTGAATAAAGATGATTTCAATTAAATACATATATCAAGAATTTTAATCAAATTTAAAGAAATATCTTTTATTTTACTTAGTATTTACAAAAATTTTAGATTTCCTTTTAAAAAAGGAATGTGCAGTATCTGAATCGACAAAAGAAAAAAAAATACTATTAGACTATTAGGCGACATCTTTAGCATTCTTTCAGATTTTCCAGCTAAGTAGCATCATAAAAATTTTTCAGCTATTTCTAACGCAGGTCTCTTTCCAATGTAGTCTACTATGTATTAGAGACAGGAGTGGGCGACGTGGACCATCGCCCATGGTTTTGTGGTCTATGAAACCTTGCGTCGCCCGTAGTTACTTTTTTTTATTGAATTGACTACAGAATTTTAAAAAAACTGCTCCACTGAGGGGCCTTGCACAAAATGTATCTTCCTCATGTCCATTTGCTCCTTGTCTTGCCGTCCCTCTACTTAGTCTACATGGTAGGCTGGTAGCTTTATAGAAGATTTTGTATTTAAAAGTTATTTTTCTTGCATCTATGTATTACGCTTTATTCTTTTAATGTTCGCTCTTTTACGACATTTAGGAGATAAGTGACGATATATAGCAATCGTTACTAAATAGAGATAAAAAGTTGGTATGCACAAATAATCCCCAATTTCTCAAAATTCAATTCCCTCAGTCCCTATTAGAAGTTTTGCTCGCTTCACTCGAAACCTGTCACTTCGCCGTGTTCACGTCGTTAGCGCGCGCGTGTTGTATTTTAAATATGTGGGTAACTAATTATAAGGGTTGCGAACCTTATTTCAATGAATATTCATTACCGAGCGATGCGTATAAATAGGAGCTAATTTGCTTGCTCGGACAGCAAAGATTACAATATTTATCTAGCTATACCTATTTTTTTTGTTTTTATTACATATAAATCCGACTATACTTAAAAGCAAGTGTATGAATACAGTGGGTTACGAGAACAAGGTACTTAATACCCATGCTCTTTCATGTGGCTAGAAAATCGTGTTTAATTCTTGATGTTTTTCTTTTGACCTGATTCCATTTTACATATCCTGCTATATTATGTATATGGTGTAAACATATATAAATATAATATTTTTTTATTTATTATCGTATATTTATATTTATTTAGGTATACAAATAATCTTATATTCGACCTATGATTGGCATCCGCTTCACGTCACACCATCTGCTTCTGTTTGTCCACCGCAAATATCTTACGTATTCCTTTGCAATTCAGGCTCAACTGTGGATTAATATTTCTGGAAAAGCTATATTTTATTTATTTGATTTGAATTCTAGATAAAATAATTATGATTATGGCGGACATAACATAAAGCGATGTCATTTATTAGTCTGCTATGCGAGATTACTAGTGATTTATTTCAGAAATTGTATTATTTTATTATAGATATTAACAAGTACCCACTTAACTATCTATGGTATAGTGTTATTTTATTTTTGGAATTGTAGATTAACATATAAATAAAGTATTACTGATAGACTTTATCTTCTTTGTTGGATTCAAAAGGTACATACATTTACTGTAATGTAACGCCGAATTTTCACGATTTTTATTCCTGTTATTGGCATATTGTGTCATTCAATCTAATTATTATGGTTCATTGTGAAATTAGGTACTTTTTCATTCACTGCGTATAGCTAATTTAATAAATTTAGTTGACAATGTTCTGGCTAAGTATTTGGAGTAGGTTAGTTTTGCAAAATTTGTTTTCAGTCTTTCATATATGCATTTTATTCCGATATTTAGAGTCGGTGCACCAGAGGTGTTTAGGTAATGAAATTACTTAAATTAGTATTCTTTGTTATATGTTCAGTGATCATTGTTTCTTCGCCATTTTGTGATGCTTGGAAAACATCTTTCTTTAGATCTTACAAATGGAAAACGAGGGTAAGGCCGTTGCGTAAACACAAACCTTGAGGCTATTTGCCGTTCGCTTATCAGGCCTAAGCTTATAGACATAGCAGCTACAACTCACTACACTGCTTGCAATTCTGATTATGTTGGCAATTCAAAATTCAATGTATAACTTATGTGTTAACAGGAGACATTGTATACACAGATATTAATTATAATACTTAAATATAACTTTCTGTATTTAATTATAGAGTTATGCAATTTAATTACAATCTAGTGAATCAAAAAGACAGGTGTTTGTAAGTTTCAATCAGTTTGTACTAAAATTTTGAGGGTGAATTTGAGCACTCGACTAATGGTAGATAACAAATAGATACTTAACAAAGAGACGCTGATAGACATTTTCCATTCTGAATTCAATTTTGAATTGAAATTGAATAGGTATTATGCCTGTTGAAATGTGGGCAATATTAATTCATCACAAAGACAAGCAATCGATATTCGTTTTTGATTATCTCGTTTTAATCTGTTTTATTGTAAGAGTATTTATAGTAAATAGTTTTTACGTGTGATTTGCTTGAGTGTTGGAAAAATATTTTATTAAATGATCTAAATAAAAATAATCCTTCTAATCCGTTCTAAATTAAATGTGTTTACCAATTTTTATGACAATTAGTTAAGGCGTGAAAGCTTCCAGATGTAACAATCAAATAGATTTAAGAACATTCCCGTTTATAATATTATGTAAAGCGTGAAAATCACGTGCAATTCGAGACTGCTCGCGTGAATCAGAAAAAAAAAACCTATTAATATTATAAATATGAAACTTTATATCGATGGATGGATGAATGGATGTTTGTTAGTCTTTCACGCAAAATCTACTAAACGGATTTGAATAAAATTTGGTACACGGGTAGGTTATATCCAAAGTTAGCACATAGGATACTTTCAGCTGTTATAGTGCTATTGTGTAACAAACAGTTTCCAGTTTTATAAATTTTCAAATTTATAATATTAGTTATAAATTGAAAATATTAATACCGCGGAATACAGTTAGTTTTCTGTATGTTAAATTAGGACACGGTTCATCTGCTTTGTTATTAAAATAAAAAACGTAAACATTTCAATAGAAAATCGTCTCTAAAGAAAATACCAGCTATCCTTACCAACTATCTTATGTTAGATATAAATGAAATAGAGTCTTTATTCATCCACAATATCAAAGGAAAACAAAGGAAACTGTCCGCTTTGTTAGGTTTTGTGTCAGGTGAAGATCTCTGTTTAGCGGAGAGGAAATCTGTACAAAATGTACAATTTGCCACTATTTCTGTCTTTTGCACATTCATTATCTTTATTTGGGTAAAAACTTTTATGTTTGGTAAATTTTAGAGAAACGTTTAGTGGAAAAATAAGCGTAGTGAAAATTGAGTGATTATCTTGCAAGTTTTGGTATTTCGAGTTTAATATGTCCTAACTATAATCTAAGGTTCTAATCTAACATGATTAAAATTTTATAGGAAACACAAAAACATCCCAATTCTGAATTTATTCCAAATACAAAGAAATTAAGAAATTAAATAATATATTTATGATAAATTCAGTATTCAATTGAGTAAACAAAT